TGAGATTGTCTTACAGCTCATTTCTCATAAAGAGGTTCTGTGCCCTTTTCCCTGTCCTCCTTCTGCCTTGGCCCACCTCCCATTACATGCACTGGCTTGTGTTTTCTGACCCTGCACCAAACCAATTCAATTTAGTGGAATTGAGAAGAGTATTAAACTGGAAAAAAGGTGAATCGTTTGTGATGGCACACAGAGTTGACTTAAACCATAGATGTACTGATGAGCCCRAAGCTGATGCAAAAGATGTGATCTGGGATCTGGATCTGGTTCTAGAGAAAGGAAGAGGAGAAAATGTAAATAAGAGCTTTATAGCAGTGTAAATCTGGTTAATGTTCTTTGTGGTAAAGTGCTACTACCCCTGAGTAACAAATGGCCAAATTCTGTTCATGCACAGTCTGGCACCATCCTGTATATACATGTTATCTTTGTTTGTCATGGATTTGTCTTTCACAGGGTGATTATAAAAGGATAAATGTGGGACTGCAAAATAACAGATCAGTCAGTGAGACACCAGTAACAAGGCTTTGCTTTGAGGGAGGGTGGTCAATAATATTGTCATATTTCATAAGCTCACCTCTCAGCTCTCTCCAGGAGGTAACAACAATCTCTTCTTGCCAGCTCCATGGGACCTAGGTAGACTTTCTTTCTCCTTTTATTTTAATGGGGTTTTTTTTCTGGGTTTTTTTTCTGTCATAAATTCTGGAAACAGATCAGCTTTCCATCTTCGTCTCAAAAATCTGTAGAAAAGCAAGACAGCAAATAAATAAATGGCAATGAAATATACCGCCCATGAAAGATTTAGCATCATTCAGTTGGAAGAAAAGGAGGAAAGCTAATGATTGGCAGCAACTAGTGATCACTCTACCATTTCAAAGTTTTTTCCAGATTAACTGACGACATTTTCTGTTTCTGTTGAAGTCAAAGACAATATTTCCATTGGCTGCARTTGGGTCAGTTTTAATCCCTTTAARTTTTGAACAGTCCTGTTTTCAATCTAAAATAAGAGAGTACAATATTCTTTCAAAACTGGGTCAGTTATCTGATGTRTGGATTCATCATTCATTTTGACACTTACCTGATTGTATCCTCATTCTTCTGCTGAGGTTAGTTTAAAAGAAGAGGCACCTCCCAAGCTATCCTCCCTTGAAATGTCATCTGAGGCTTTCTTTTTCACTTTTTAAGCTCTGTGGGAAGTACAGCTTCAGCTCTATTATAAACAAAACACAGCAAGAACCCATGTTCCTCACGCAACAGCGTTTTGTGGTGAACACAGCAATGACTCACTGTTGCCTCTGGCACCCTGCTTTGACCAGGCAGGTGCAGTGACGGCTATGTGGGAGCATCGGGTGCATGGCAGCAACAGGGGCAATTCATGCCAAAACACTGACAGCTGTGGGTGTGGGGAGCAAGCAGATGCCTGGACAYAAACTGCAGAGTGTGGCCAAGACATCCACACGGGACTGAAGATAGAAGATAGGACTTACTGGACCTCCTTGCCCTCTACCTTGGTGGCTGGAGGCTGGGTGGGATATGCCAGAGCACTCAAGAGGGCATCTACRTGTGAAAACCTGCACCTTTGTTGAAGTTCCCCTGGAGCTGGTATATTAAGCAGTCATGGGTGAAACAGCTAACCCACACAGAGAGGATACTTGTTGATTTTSCTGACCAGATTCTCCTCTGAAACCTTTAAATGGATTATAGTTTGCACTTATTTTTTTACCTAATGGGCTATTTGTGCTTTTTCCCTTTGGTATGTAATATTGGACTCTTGGCAACCTGAAGGTCAAGGTTCTCATGTTGCAGTTGCCACTGCCTGACAAGCAGTTCTCAGCCCCAGTGCTTCTGGTTGCACAAATGCATCACTCATGTTTTGTATCCTGGAAAACTGGAGGAATGTGGACAGATTTACCAAAACTCAAGGACAAATCTCCTTCAGGTGGACAGATCTTCCTTGGAGACKGAGTTTGTCATGCATGTATGCATGTAGGCATTGGATAAAGTTGTCAGTTTTGGGATAGATCAGAGGGAATTTCAAGCTTTTAATTTCATATTTGCATATGATACATTCAGATGTTCTTTGTAGTATTCTGTACTGTGTGAACTTATCCTACGTTCAGTCAGTCAAATGAGGACATTGGTGTAACTGTATCCAGGGAGAGAAAAAATGTGTTTTTTCTGGGGTTGAGCTGAAATATGCTGCTCTCTGAAAGGTGGACTTTTACAGTTGAGTGGAGAACTTCCAAGGAGGGCGGGAGTACTGCCACAATAAATGCAGCTGGACATGGCTGTGACACACAGCCTGGGGACATAAGACCTGAAAACTAGGTTTTCACAGCTTGCTCAGTCTGCATTTTTTCGTTTACTGTCTTGGATTACTGAGTCATAGAACTCAGCTGCAGTTGAGTTGAACTTTGAGAATAATTACATAAAATATTACATTTTTAATTTCCTGTTCAGAGCTGTACTGGGAGTGAGTTCAATAAACACAAGAGGGTGCAGAAGATCAGTACTAATAAAAATCCTGCCTAGAATCTCATTAAGAAATCTCATCTGTTCCTATGTACTGAATGAAGTAGGGATCTCTTGAAAGGAGCACAATGCAGTTGTATCATTAAAGAAGTGTATCATAATGTGTACACAACAGGATGTCAAATGGAAGGCAAGCTTAAATCTGGCATTTCATTACCTTAAAGGAATTGATTTTGCAATAATTTTCTTGCAGAGCCATTTTTGCTTGAGTGGTGTGAATATTCTCGTAGATTCACAAGTTTGGGAAGGTGAAAATGCAGACCTCCTRTGTACACACCACTCGTGTTGCCATTTATGTGTTCATCAGCAAGTTAGGATGCTTTTGATTCATAACACCATCCTATGCCCTTTGAACTGCACTCAGAGACAGGCTGCCCTTCCCAGGGAGTCAGTGCCAAAACAATGCTAAGACATCTCTGTTCCCACCGCCTTTTATACACTATATGCTGATTAATGAAACTTGTTTATTCCCAGTTCCAGAAGAAGTTGAGATGAACTGAGCACAGAACTGTCTAGCTATTTGCTTCTCATCATTTCTTTGTGATAAGTGTGTATCTTGTGCTGATCCCTTGGCTTTGTGTTCTGATCCTTCCCTTGGAGCCTTCACAACAGCATGAGGCTGTCCCAAGCAGAGCAGCAGCAGTGTTGCTGCATGGGGATGGCACATTTATCAGTCCCCACTTGGTTCAGAAACCTCCATAGACTGGAGGAGCAGGGCTTCCTGAGCACTTCCAACCCCTATTTGTTGAGTCCTTGGAATCTGAGGAGTCTGTCATAYTGTACAACCCTCAACTTTCCAAATGGGAAAATTCTTCATCAAATTCACAGCTACCAAAGGCCTTCCTGAGGGACCAATTGTAGTCTTGTCAGCCTAGGAAACACCATGTTTCCCACTTGGTCAGCTTCTCAACAGTGACTGAACCCCTCCAAAAAGATATATTTAATGTCTTTTCTTGTTCTCAGTGATGACAACTATTTTTGTCAACATTTTGTATTATCACTCTTAGTGATACAAAGGGTGAAAATTTTCAGCTGTATGCAAGTCATGCAAAGTCAAATGAAGGACTTCAGGTGAGAACTGCTGAACACTTTTTCCTGTAAACACTGCTGCCAGATTTGTCTGTGGTACCAATCAGAAAACACTAAATTATTCATTTCTGTCCTGATTTTATCATTCCTTAAGGAGTATAACTTAATTTTCACCACTGTGAAATAAAGACAACGGCTGCTATTATACTTGTGAAGGGAGCAAGTTTCTGCATTTCAGATTTCTGCATTTGAAAAATTGTCCCACTGGCACACCAACTTCTTCAAGACCTACAGAGACTCTCAGCAGCAGAGTCCAAAACAAAATTAAACCTGAGAGAGGAATTAGAAGATAGAAACTGTTCTAGTTGATGAAAATATGTTTGATTGACTGCACTAAGGATGTAGTTTTAAAAAATATTCTCATCCTTTTGAAATAGTAAGAGATTTAAAAGTAGGAACTGCAAGTTTGAAATGGAGCATTGCTATTTGTGGGGATGGTACCAAAAGTAACTGTAATTGCCAAAAATACACARAAATATTTAGTTACTTTTCAGCAAGCACTGACCAAATAGTTGAGTTTTCGTGAATCAAGCTGGACATTAATTATTTACCCATCAGTAGGGTCTTTGCATCTGAAAGCTTAACACCACTATTTTATAAGAAACCCATAAGATGCTTCATTTTAGCAAATACTGACCACATTCCCTGTTCCTTCTGTTAACCTGAATAATTCCATCTTACCTAAATAGTTGTTTTCATGCTCCCTTAAAATCTCAGGTCTCTGCTTTGATCTTGAGCTGCATGGAGTTGAGAAGATTTAGAATTTGTGGATGTGTTTCTTTGTATTGTTGTTTGGCCATACTATTTTTATAATCAATATGGTGTGTTTATCATGGTAAGTTACATCAATAYATGGCAGCACTAGTATGAAAATCARAAATTTTCCATTTCCTTGGTAGTCAGGAATATGATAACCCAATATGATGCTATTTGAAATAATCTAAAGGGATCAAATATGTTTTAAGAATATAAATGAGCAGATCCTTTTTTCTCAATTCATTTTGGTTTTCTGTTTRTGTATCACCAAATGAAGCCAGAAAGATAAGAAATTCTTTTTTCAGAGAAAATTCATCATTTCTTATCTTTGGAAAACTTCGGCTGGTCTCCATCCTTGACTAATGTCACGTTATTTCTCTGAGCTAATAAAAAAGACCAGTGACTCAGCACCTGTAGCTTATAATTCAATATCAAGTGAAAAGTTGAAACAGCATGCCAATATTTCATCCTAATGTTAATGTCCTATCTTCAGGAGAGACCAAAGTAAGCTTTCTGGAATGCAAAAAATGAATACATTTAKCCATAATTATTTTTAAGTCCTGTGCTTGTTTTTCCGATGGCASCTGTTCTCCTAAATGACTTTAATTCCTCATTTTGATTGACAGATCAAATTTGCCACCAACTCTGCCACTTTCCTACCAAAACTGGTAGAAAACATGCTAAAACAGAAAAATGGATAATAATGGACAAGAAGTATTTTCTTTTCTGGCTGGTGAGTTGGTTTATTTCACTCTTCTGCACTGTCAATTATTTCCAAATCTTCAAGTGGAGAATGAACATATGAGCAGAATTCTGGTACTCCAAAGAGCACAGCTTGCAGAGGAGTTTCAGGAGAAAAAGTAGTTTCAGAAATTAAACTCAAGTGATTTTAAGTGCACTGGAAACTTGTGGGGAGAAGGGGGTGTGCACAGACAGATCARGCAACTTCAAAGTATTTGTGGGGAGGTCACTGTGTAGCAGCATCATCTTCCATGAGTTCACAGCATAGGGCCAGGCTGGTCCAGGAGACCTCTTGGASTAAGAGCACCTTGTCTGGATCTCTCTTGCCCATGTCAGTGAGCAGCAGCACACATGTCATGRTCAGATACAGCTCAAATCTACTAATTCATTTTGCAGAGGGGAGAATGAGAGTTTGTCAAATTGTTTAGTCACTAATAACTTGAAACATAATTAAAATAATGACACTAAAAGATCTATATAGTGCCCTGAGGGTTGCCACGAGGCTCCCGTGCAATGTGGGCAGCTGACTACTTCGTTTAGCTTTTCAAAAACCTGGTGACTTGTCTGAAGCAAATGTTTTCAGAACTCTCCTGGCCCTTTCAGTTTGCATTCCAGTTCCAAACAACACCTGCTCTTTGCAGGCTGTATGACTGGTGTGGCCCTATTGCAGCAGCAGATATGCCCTCCACATTCGTGGMGAGAAGGCTGAAAAGGATTGTTCTGCTAGGGCTGAGAAATTGATTCAGGGATAGGAATTGTATTTTTAAGGGGACTTTTGCCAGAATTGATGCTAAAAAATATAGTGCTGCGTTCCTCGCCTGCTCATTCCTACCCTCTCCCTCGAGTTTGCACAAGACTGGTCTGAACAACAGAGGAATTAATCCACTTGAAGTCTCAGCCAATGGGAACAAAAATACAAGCTGTGATCTGGCTCGGGGTTGTGATGTGGTTTTCCATCCAGCCACGTAGACGTGTGTCCCACAGGAGGCACAGCTGTAGGGGAGGTGGGAATTGTCTCTCAGGGGACTAGGGAGGGGAATGCAGGGTGGTCTGTGGGAGCTTGTGCTTCCTCACAGGCTGAGCTTGGGGGTAGCTCTTGCCTTGGGACAATGACACCTACCTCCAGCAGAGCTTTGTGARCCTTGGTGAATTTTTTCTGATCCTTGCTTCTTGTGCTGGGATGGCTCATGCATGAGCACCAAGCCCCATGCCACAAGCAGGATGGAAGTGCTGGAGAAGCAAACATGAGCAGGAGCCCTCAGACAGCATCCCCCAAGCAGCCACAAAAATTACGGAGGTGGTCATGTGGCAACCTAGGTCAAGAATGTGAAATGGTGTGTAGGAGGTGTTGGGAGGTGCCCCCACCCCAGCTGTCCTAGAATTTCACTCACAAGGTAAGTCATAAACATTTATTTTACAACTGTGTGTTCAGGGTGACTTTTCACAATGAAATTACATAAAATAGACTTTTTTGTGTGATGAGAAACCAAGTGAGAGTTGTGGAGTATCTCTGCATCTGCACTCTAGCCCACAGTAGGGATTTTGCAGGCTAGGTCCAGGGTTGGAGAAACAGAGGCATGTGGAAACTCGGGCTGTCCTCAAAGAGGGCATGCAAGAAAAAGTTTCAAGGTCCTTTCCTAGTTAATGGTTGTTTTTTCTGTTTTGCAATACAGAACAACTAAATATTCTCATCTTGTTGGAACCAATCTATCTTGTGTTACTTCTCTTTCATCATTCTTTCATCACCTTTCTTTATCGCTGACTAGAAAAATATACATTAACTCCTGGAAAAGCTTACAAAAACCAAAAAGGTAAGTGAACTAATTTCACCTTTGTAGAAAGTTCAACTTGTTGGTACTTGCTGTCAGTGTGCTGAGTTTTTATCTGCTGGGAAGATGGTGGTGACACCAGCATTGAGGTTCCTTCCTCTAACCACTCACACATATACAGGGGCTGTTGAGCAGWTGGAGAGAGCTCAAAAAAGTGGTAGAAAATGTAGCATCTTCTTCTATGAAAATATGCACAAATATATTTTTGTTTTCTTGCGCTTCCCATTGGGAAGATTTTTTTGATTTTTCAGCCTAGCATCCAGATGAAGGAAGACTCAGTGATCACAGTGTCCATCTATCTGTCCCACTCTAAAAACTTTTAAATCAACCACCACTCTTTAACATAATAAAGTGATACAGAGCTCAAAAGAATTAGAGTAGGATTCATTTCACCTAAGTTTAGACTTCTATARTACCAATGTCTTCATCTGAGATAATCCCTTAGGTCGTCCTTACAGTTAGTGAAGACCAGCTGGCATATTTAACCATGATTYGAGCAGCCTGATTTAGACGTCTATTTTGGGATGGGATGAATCATGGACTAGGAGTGCCTTTCTCTCTTTTCTGCTTATTTAGGATGACCATCTGATGTAGTGGGATTTCCTACAACTTCTGAAGATCGTCGCTACATAAGAAAGGAAATTGAATGAGGCAAAGCTGAAGTGTGTGCTCACCAGCATGGGTGGGCCAGTCACCATGGGCATTGGCTTTTAGAAGCAACATGCCCCTTGTTAGGGAGCCCTTCACCTAGGTGATATTCAGAGGTCTTGAGAAGAAACTGCTGAAGAAATACAGCTGAGGTGAGGTGAGGAGAAAGTCATAAAGAGCTTTAGGATCGGGAGAGGTTATTGTTTTGGGCGGGTAAGAAAATAAACCACAAGTTCAAAATAAACAAGGCTTTGCCAAGTTTACTGCTAACAGAATTAAATGATTGTTCCCAGGAACTCACCATAACTCTGTATGCTGTGACTGCGCACATAAAAAAAAACTTCTAAAATAACCCTTTTTGTATTTAGAGGTCAAGCCTTACCGCTGATGAGCTTGTGATGCAACTTAGTAATTTTTCATTTCCAACCTGATAATTTTCAAACACACACTTCTGATGTTTTTTCCAAGAAGCACTCTCTTCTCTGAAAAGTCATTATAATCACCTCATAGCCACCTAATTATTTTCTCTGAAAGTCCTCAGGCCTGTTAAACTCTTGATGATGGTTGAGTGGTTGCTATACTGAAACTGCTGTCTTAGATTGTTTGTGTTTCCTATTACTTTCTACCTCATGGCTCCCAGTCCAAGTGTTTCTGTTCAGAGCATTTCTTTGTTAAGCACAGTGAAAGTCTTAGTCAACACACTTGAGTCTATAAAACTTATGGTAATGCAAGTAAATAAATATGAATACATTGCTGTACTAGTTCTGTCCTGAATGTGAAAAYGTTAGTGGTGTTCCTTCTAAACTGAAGAGTCTGGAAGTTGTTACGACARTGTCTCTAAAACATGCTCACCACTGCAAAGTTGCCTCATTAAGCTTAGCACCCAGTTGTTTGTGGAAGGAGATTGAGAACAGGATGGAGCTGTACTGGCACAAGGGGCAGCCACAGACTGCAACAAAAGGAGGAAACAAAACTGAGGAATGGAYTTCATCTTTTGCTGATCCCTGTGATAGCATTGAATGAAAAGAGGTAACAATTTGTGCTTTGTCACAGTGACTCAGCCTTTTGTAAGGCAGGGTGTTATYCAAGACTGGCCTCAGTGAAAATGCAGTTGCTCCCACAAGCATATTCTTGTCTTAGGATCACTTGTTAATGCATATTTATTTAGTAATTTACTTTCTGGGAACAATTCCATTSATGCCCACTTTCTCATTATCAGCAAAGTGTAACTCATTACCCTGTTTTTCAGAAGGCACAAATGAGATAGCAAGTGAGCTAGTTGCTAGCTTAAAGCCATGGAGTGGGTCAGTGAGTCATCAGCAGAATAGTTTGACTGGGAGGCAGGTTTTGTTTGTGTTTCATTCCAGCAAAAACAAAAGAATGCTGGCTGGGAGAAAAACTTCAAAACAAACAAACTGGAACAATCACTCCCAAGCTGATTTTGACTAGAATTTGGTTCAGAGTCTGACACTGAACGATTATCAGTGAATTCCAGATCCTTGTTTCATCCTCAAAAGCTTTGTTCTCCATAAAACTGGCAAGGTTGCTGTCTGTTATCCATGATACCTCTGTTTGTGCCTCATCTTCCTCATGGGACAGCAGAAGGAAGCATGGCCCATGTGACATCCTTGTTGCCTCTTGCAGAGGGAGCAGAGGCCTCCTGGTCATGACACAAATGAAAACTCATCCCTCAGCATTTTCCAGTCTGACTGCTTCCATRCATGACCTTGTATTATTGTCCTTGTTATTAATAGTGGCCATTCCTTTCCCTCAATTTACTGCTCTTCTCTGATGTTCTTAAACACATTCATTCCTGTGTCACTCGTAACTACCTAWAACTACAATTTTTGTCCCTGTATGCTGAAGGAGGGCCATAGGGCTGCCTTCCAGGGATTTTCTTGCAAAACACAAGTAAGCCAGAATTAGGAAAGTTTAAATGCAGTCTCTAAACACTAAGCTACCTGTGTGCACAGGTGTTTGTTCTGCACCAGCCTGTTAAGGCATAAGAATGAACTGTTAAGTGAAATGTTGATGGACATATTTTAGGTAAGTGAAACAAAGCATGGGAGCTTCTAAAATTAAAAGACAAAACACCCTCMAAATGAAACTTCAAGCCAACAAAATTTTCATGGGCAGAGAAAAACAGGTAATATCTGGAGTGGAATTCACTTCAAGATGAAGGCTCTTAAATTAAGATGCCTACATATAGGTAGAAATAAAAATRTGTGTGCTGTCTATGTTTTGACTATGGAGATCAATGGATCAGCAGAGACCAGTGGTTTGATTCAGTTGCCTAAATGTTTGTGCCTTTGGAAGAATTTCAGTAGTCTGAGACATGCCTGGCACTTAAAACGTAAGGGAAACCCATGTCCTTTTGGGAAGGCTGRATGCCAGACAGGACACCCAGCACACAGGCAGTGCTGGACATTTATGTGTGAATCTTGTCTCTAGCCAATGTGGTCAGTAAAGCCTAAGAGCAACTCAGGTTATCCTACAGTAGGACTTGTGGCTGACCGAATAAATCACTTCATGTGCCTGCATTGGCTAATATTGTATCTTTTACTCTGCTGCCTGTAACTGGAGCTGTAATATCTAGTGCATGTAGAGATGCCTATATTTATGCTTCCCGACCTTGGGTTGTCCTCAGTGTTTCCAAGGAGCAGTGGAAGATATGAAAGCRTTTAGCTTACACAGCAGCTAATGCCTGCAACTCCTCAGCTTCATGACTTGCATGACTGATCCAACCTTTTTCAAGTGATCTCCCTTCCCAAAGAGATATGATCCTATGAGAATTCTTTGAACACTTAGTTCTCATATGAACAGATCCCACTTCTGGTACTGACCAAAACTGACATATCCTCCTGTTCTGCTTCTGCTGCACAAACCAGTCTCTTTGCTGTTACTCCCTGCAACAATTTCAGTTCAGGAGATAGGTTTATCTTTTGTTTCAAAAGATAGTGTGATAAAGAGGAACTCAAGCTGCTGCTAAGAGCTTAGGGTGTAATTACTCACATAATACTATAAGAAAGCTCAGCATTGAGTTTTAATACATTATTTATTATATTCAATTCCATTTTTTCAGCTTTGTTAAGATTTGTTTGGAGTCAAAGTGCTTTGCAGTTCACCTGCAGTTTTTGGTGTGTCTCATCTGTTCCTCCTTCAGAAGAGCTGATCTGTTACTTCTGACAATGTGGCCAAGGTGTCCTTTTGCCAGAACTTCTTTGACATGAGCAATGAAGCAATGGGACCCTGAAATGTCAGAGAGCCATTTTAGCTGCTTCAGTGCATTTGCTGTTGTTCCACTGAGAGTGATCTAATGGAAAACAAAATACTCTTATAATAGCAAACCATAATTCACTGGCTGAACTCTCAAGTGTATGCAGTGACCAGCATAACAGCTTTAGAGCAGCAGCTGGGCCAGGAATCTGTTGGCTGCACCATTCTCCCAGCAACATAGGAAATAACTGTTTTCCCCATCTGCTAAATGTCAGTAATTTAAAAAATGTGTTCATACTGCACTGGGATGAAAGCGAAGTATGTTCTTGCAAAAACTTGTCCTGAGCTGAGATATCAGCCTTTAGCAGACTGGCTTGGGAAGCTGAAAAGGAWTGTATTCCCTACCCTGCAAGGGTGGTAAATATTAAATTATGTATTCAAACTGGAACAGCTCTGACAGAGGAGACTGAAAAACTTTCAAATAGATTGGTGGTGAGATCATGTATCTGCAACATGCAAACCAAGTCYCTGGTGTGAGCCAAAACCATGAAAGATCTATGCCTTCCCCAGTTAAGGCTAGGTCCTTTTCCCTGTGAAAGCAGGGATGGTACTTACTCTCTTGTGGTGGCCAGAAATTCTGAATCCAAGAAATGTTTCCCTGATGCTAATGTTCTCAAACCTCATGCACTGTTGTGCACTTTAYTTTTTATCAATGGGAGTTTTTTTCAGATCATCCTCATTGAATTACACTCTACTTTTCCAGGATCACGGCACCAGCCTATGGAAATCATCCAGAGGTAGGAATCTTTTCTCCTAGATGTTATGGACAATAGATGGACATGAGAGATGAGAAAGTGGGCAGACCACTACTGAAATACACATTTTTACATGATGTAACTTTCACCTTGAAAGTTMTTCCCCTCTCTCTCCCTCTTCCCCTGAGCCTCCAGCACTGCTGGCTGAAATAAGCTCTTGATGGCTTTCCCCCAGCCTTTCCCCCGGTACTGCCGTCAGCTTCCCACTGGGACAGCCTTGTCCCCGCGGCCGCAGCACGGCCCCATGCCCAGGCTGCCAGGGTCGTGTCAGCCCCGGCACTGCCGAAGGGTCCGTCCCCGGCTGTCCCCGTTTGTSGCCCGCGGGGAGCCCGGCGCCAACCCCGGCCTCTGGTGCCCTCCAGTGTCTCCTTCCCGGAACAGTTCAGAAGAGCAAATCCCTTCAGAGATCATGCGAAGAGTGATGCTCCTTCAGGGTGCRTGAGCATCAGGTGTCGAATTGAAGACTGAACCTAAATTAACTGGGCAAGCCTTTACTAAAGACAAGAAATAGAAGCACCCAGCTGACATTAAGCCAGGCCGAAAAAGACAAGCTTTGCTATGGTCAGTAAAGCAATGTGGCATGCCTAGTTATCTGAGTAACAATTCGGAGAGCAGCCTTATCAAAGATATCACCTGCATMACCATTTGCACTGTAGTTAAAAGGTGGCATTACACAGCACARAATGAGAAATAGTGATYTGTTCTGCAGCTGCTTTCACTGASGAGAACACAAGTTGCAGACGGAAAGACATTTAATCTGAATTTATTCTCTTCCTTTAGGTAAGTAACTTCAACAAATGTACTGTTTGGCTCAGGATAATCCCATACGCAAATAAAACAAAATCATTCAGTTCAATTTGGCTGTTTCTAACTAAATTCAGCAGAATTCTGACCCTACTCAGCTATTCTCATGTCATTACAGAATCACAGTCACAGGTTGGAGGGACCAGCGAGGGTCATCTGGTCCAGCATCCTGCTCAAGCAGGGTCATCCTAGAGCACAGGGCACAGGATTTTGTACAGATGATTCTTGAGTATTTCTTGAGTGATGGAGTRCAGTATTCTTGAGTGAGGGAGACTCTACAGCTTCTCTGGRCAACCTGTTCCAGTGCATGGTCACCTGCACAGTAAAGCTCTTCCTCATATTCAGGTGGAACTTCCGTGCTACATATGAATTTTACTTACAAAACACATACTGTCCTTCAAATGGAAAGAGAACACAAGCCTGGGTAACATTTATCTTATAAGCATTCCATGAAAAGAAGCAGCGTACCAATTTATGGACCTCTGCAAACCRGATTAAGTTGCTATAATGGACACCATAAACCTACGCAAGACCTACAGCTAAGTTATGGATAATTTACAGAAAACAAGCTTTCRCTAAGTAAGTATTTCACTCATATTATTTAACTGGTTTTGAAGGGAAATGATGACACAAGAARGTTTGAAATATATCTGCAATATGGAAAAATAAGTTTTCTCAAACACTTAAGAAACAAGGCAAATGTAAGAAATAAAGGATCCRTATAGTTTTCATCCCTGTTTACTTAAGCAATGCTGGCAAATAATGCTTTGGTCAAGACCTGCTTAACATATTTTCGCTTCTATATCATAATCTAATTGTAACTTTTATCGTTCTGCCAGTTTTTACTGTACAGACCCATGGGTTGACTCCTCAAAACTGTCCCTGAATTTTGAAGCAAAATTGTCCCTTTTGTTTCCTCAAAATCATTACTACCCAAGGGAGCCAGGACTAGTGGACAGATCAGGATACACACAGGTCAGCCATTTATTCTGGATGCCACAGGTCAGTCATTCATTCTGGACTGCAGTGTAGAGATTAGAGGGGCAAATGAGTCCCTGTCTCCAGGCTTGACTTAGCAGCCCACAGCCTGACACCCAGAGCCATTTGAGATGCTCTGCAGCACCTGGGRTATCTGCACAAGGTACATTTGGACAACTGAATCCTGACACCCACACTAGATGTGCAGGTATGCACACCCACAGGCATGCAGTGGCTTTTCAGGTACCCTGAAGAGCCTAGCTGCTGCTCCAGATGTGCATGGGTCCTGGTTCAGAGCCAGCAGGCTTCCCTGGCTGCCTTGACTCATCCAGCTGTGAGCAGCCTGGTTAGAAAGGGARAATTGCTGTACAGAAAATCATGAGAGAGAAAGTTCTGTCAGCCTGGGATTGCAAGGCTGTAGACTAGRCCTGGAAACCACAGGTTTCCAGGACCTAGAAACCAGAGACATCCCAAGGTACCACAAATAAGCACAAACCCAGGAGACTAATGACAATTTACTGTCTGAGAAAATGGAAAATAACAGAGATTTAAAATTGCTCTAAAAAGTCAGAAAACAGAATAATCTATTGGCTGTTAGAGGTCAAAAATAGAAATTAACTTCAGCTATTAACTGCTTAGAGTAGGATCTCCTACACACTGATGTCGCCCTGTTACAAAAAAGGACTAAAGTCAAAGTCATCTCCCTCTTAGAACATCCCA